TCATATTTTTGCTTGATTGATAGAAAATTCAAGTTGTAGAATTTAATCTTATACAATTTACAATAATACAAAATAATATTCTACTTAAGACACACAAAAATCAACATATTCACGTTCAATAAAGGTAATCCACAATCATAATCATGGTTTAAAAGAACACAACACTCACATTTAATGTCATTTTTCTACTGTTGTATAACAGAAAATGTGTTAAGTATTTATCCAATTAGGTGTAGTAAGATTTAATAATAATGGATAAGATAATAGAACTGTTATTAAACTTAAGACAAGATTTGTTATATCTTATGGGTTATTTTTTATAATATTTAAATTTTAAAGCAATTAGTACCTATTTGTAAGTAAAGTATTACAATTCAAAAATTCTAAGATGTTCATTATAAAAAGAACCACAAAAAATTACATGGATAATCTTACCTTTAAGTTTGATAATAGATAAATTTACAGGTTTTTTATAAAGGTTCACAAAAAATTGAAATGGCTAAACACAAATTTAACATGGCATATCATATTATGAAGACAACACATGTGTGTGTAACATCCTCTTAACAATAATAATGAATTATTTGTTTGATTTTGATATTGTTTAAGTTGAACTAAATCTAAATGTTCAAAACAATAATAGTCATTGTTTATCTTTGTTGCAACTGAATAATTATAAGTTTTAATATTAAGAAAATGAGGAAAACTATGGATTAATGWATAGTAAAAACACTAATATTTTRTTTTTATTTTTATTTTAATTAAGTATTTTATCATGAAAGAAAAAAATGTTCATATACATAGGCTAGTAGAGAAAATAATATACTAAATCTACAATGAAGATGGCTTGCATTAGCATACAAATTATCAATAAAAATAATTAATCATTGAATGATGATAAAATTATTGTACACAGAACGTCACAGTACGCTTAATGTGGACATAACACAATACATCACCAATATCTATAACTATAAGTAATAACTATTATATAGTTAACATATTCGATTAAAAATTGTATAATTATAAAAAAAAACTGTTTGAAAAAAAAATGAACCAAATTTAATTTTGAAGCTAAAATTAAATTAAATAGAAGAGAAYAATCTAAAAAGCAACATATTTTACAATATAATTATTTATTATTATTTATTTTTACACCGAGCGAAAAGGCTTGAGCTTTAAAACAACAACGCTAAATTCTCACCAGTTATCAAAATGTATATTATGATTAATTTGATATTTATTAAAAAAAAATAGTTTATATTTGCACCAAAACATTGGTCATGACAAAGCCATAATTATCTACCTCTAAATTTGTAAATTTTATAAAAGTACAAACGGTTTTAAACTTAAAAAATTTTCAATTAAAAAAATTACACTTACTAAATTTTATGGAAGTAACTATACACTTAAAATGTAAAATTTTTATAATAATAAGATAAAAATAATATACAGTGTGAATTGCCTTTGGAAGATGTAATGTGAGATGGAATGTACCGTGTATGCGATAATTCGTTTCACATAATGATTGAGCATAAAAAATTATGCCTCATACCAAAAATATCATAATACTATAACTAAAACTCACAACAATTTTTCTTTTTAAATTAATACTAAATCTTTAATTTGGGGTGAAAATAAAAATAACAGAATTTTTCTTAACGTTTTATAAATATTTTTAAATTAAAATAAATACAATWAATTGCTAAAAAAAATGATATATATAATATAAATAAACTTACAGAAGTTAATATTTGATCAAGTTGAGTCATTTATTTTGTTTGTATATATTTATATTAAATATATATATATATATATATAAATATATACAGGCATATAAAATAGTAAAAAAAATAACTATTTAAAAATTAAGTTTGGTCCGGGAATGTATTTTGGTTGTAAAAAATTTGAGCGTAATGTTTCATTATCAAAAGAGCAAATATATGTTAAAAGAAAGATATTGTAATCAAATCATATCATAATGACTTAACTTAATTTCAATCTAATATTATTATATTTAGTTATTTTTTAAGTATAAAATCTAATATAATAATAAATAATAATAAAAAAAATATTTATATTTATAAACAGCCGACAAAAAAAAAAAAAAATTGTACAAAAAAGTATTATGTTGCAGAGATTTGTTTCATTTYAATTTACAAAAATCATGTATAAAAATAATTTGAAAAGAACCATACATACTTTTATTTATGATCATCAAAAAAGGAATGTGTTTCTTTAGTTGTAGAATTTTAAAAAAAGGGGAAATATGAAATAAAATATTTTTTTTTCACATAAAATAGTAGGTAATAACATTAGTGTAGTTTTCGATAACTGTYGTCAACGATACATTTAGTGAATAATAATAATAATAAAAATAAACCATAGAGTATATTTTAATTGCCTTCTTCATGACCAGCATCACCATTTGTAACTGCGATTGCATCATTTACTCCATTTATTTCATGCAAATCCTGTAATGTAATAAATATTGAATCAAATATCAATTTTCATTCATTTCCAATACTTTTAACCAACATTGGATGACACACAAAATAAAACCAACTGTYGCCATTAAATATGACAGTGCGGACGTGTGYATTATATCATTGATGTCGTTATTATTATTACTTTTATTTGTATAGTTATATATTATCTTATTCTTTTTGATATTGATGCAATCCATGTTAAATTATTTTAGTGTGTGTCTAACCGTGTGTCCATGTACATATGCGTGTCATTGTGACCGTTTCCAGATATAAATAACTTATTTGAATGTAAAAAAATAAATTTTAAAACTTGATATAACAATATTAACTTAAAAAACACATTAAACCTATACAGTCCACTAAAACCCAACGCCAACAGACAGGTTTAAATATCATGTCTACGAAATACACTAGGTTTATTTAATAAGGTCAAGCACAATATGTTTTTTCAAGTATAAATCCAAGTGAAATATCTAGAAAAATGGAGATTATCTAATACAATAAACTTACATTTGAAATTTCATTGGTCGCCTCATTAATATCAGCTGCATTGGATAGCTTGATTGCTTCAATTTTTTCAGATAAAGAATTTACCTAACGCATAAAAATATATTTGAATAAGTATTGCACATGTATATAAGTATAATAGGTACTGAGTAATCAATCATATTAAAAATTCAATTACATCAGGTGAGGAAGGCTCAGATTTTTCATCTTCAACATGGTTACCATTAACTAAAGGTACAACCTCAGCCACTTCTTTTTCAATATCAGATGTATTCAAACCTTCTGGGGGTTCGGCCAAACCTTCTCCACCGCCAAGTGTTTCATCCTAAAATAGCACTTATTTAGAATAAAAATTAATWAAATAAAATAAAAATCTTCCTTACCTCAGGTTCAGCTTGTACAACCTCTGGTTCTACTGGTTGGACTGGAGCAGGTGTTTCAACGATAGTTGGTGTTGGCACAACAGGGGTAGGTTCTACTGGGGGAGGACTACTTGGTAATGGAGGCGGAATTTCAGTTACATTTGTTATCTGAAATAAAATAGTAATTAATAGAATAATATTTGGATAAAGAGAATGTAACTATTGTGTATTTACATTTAATTCAACAGCTTCAGGTTTTTTTTCTTCAACATCTGTAAGAGGTTTTTCAGTGACTTTTGGAACTTCAACAGCAGATTCAGGTTCTGGTTTGGCTACTTCTTTTACTGTTTCTTCTTCGGCCACCTGGAAATAATATTAATTAATTTTTATTTCACAATTGACTAGGCTGGATTTATGTTACTAATGTGGGCAAGGTCAAAAACAGTTAACAATCAAAAACGATTCACAGGAGTCGGGAGATGTGTGACGTGTTTTTTTTGTGAATACAATGATCAAATTATGTTCAATTAACAGCGACAAAAAATAAGTAAGTCTTGTACTATTGAGAGGTCAACAACTAAAGAGATTCTCCCATTAATCAATTCGCCCCTACGGGAACCAACCAATAAATTAGACCACTATAAATAATAAAGATATTTTTCATTCTATCATTCAGCTATCTATTCTATACTAGTTAAGGGCTGTGTATAGTATGATTTAGATTATGATATACATGTTTGAAATGAGTAACAAATAAAGTAACTGAGTAACATTTAAACGTAACCAATTAAACCAAAGAAAAGATTCCAAATCACTCAAAATAAATCGGTATTAATTATTTTATTAAAAAAAAATATATACTGTCTACAAAATATTTATTCGTGATGTATCTAATGCACAACAATAAAATATACGTATCACATTTAAATGTTAAAGGGTATTTTTTTTAATTATGTAGGTATATATATAACAATATTTATATCTATAAAAATATGAGTCGTAAAAATGATAGCTAACTTCGTATACATTTTCCACTCTTATATAAAATGTTTTAATTTTTAGAATTCTTTAAAATCTCTATAGGTACTTTAAGTTAAGCATAAATAAATTATTAAGATAATTCAAACATAAAGTGCGATTTGCAAGTCTTGTTTTTTATCATACCTTTGGTAACAAAACAGAATCCCTAGACGACATTATAACGGTAACGAAGTAGGTCGTAAATTTCACTATTGCTTAAAAGCAAGGTAACGCACATCAAACTCAACCGGACTAAACACTGTTGCTTAGCGTTAGTGGACATTATATTTATAGCACCATAAGGCAACGGGTGTTATGGAGGGACATGATGATGAAACATATTGTTTACAATTAGTTATTTTTATTGATTTGATATCGTTTCCCGCTACGCTTACTCGATTTTCAGATACGCTTACAGGATCCTTGAATAAAGATGATCAACCGTGATGAACACCAACAGAAAAAAAAAGTAATATGGAGAATAGCATTATTTATACTTTAATACGTAAAAAATTCAAACTTGTATTAAGAGGATACTATACACGCATGTGTCGTCTTCATCCAACAAATGTAAAACAGCAAAAATTKTTTAGCGTGGGAAAGAATCAAGAAGGCTACCGGCATAACTAAGAAAATAAATAATCATCACATAAAAATGGAGAAACTTTGGCTGTGAAATATCGTTTTTATTATTCCGATATCATAACTACAAAAAAAGTTATTCAAGTTAGAAAAACAAAAGAATGATGGATTTTGAAACTATAAGAACTTTATTCGTTTAAGTGATGTTTAAAAAAAAACGTTATTTCACAGAAAATGTTCTTAACTATATATTATATCAATTTGGATTCCTAGCTATAATTACGGCCTGAGTGGTTCTATCCCGCGTAAAACAGTTTTTGCTACCTTGTACATTTGTTAGACAGAGACAAAACATGCGAATGTAGCGTCCTCTTAATGATTTCATTTTTTTTATTATTATCACGAAATAAAGTTTAAATCATTTTTTAGTTAGTACCGTCTATAATAATGTATTATTATATTAATGGTATTGTTGTACAATGTATATTTCTATCCCGCGTAAAACAGTTTTTGCTACCTTGTACATTTGTTAGACAGAGACAAAACATGCGAATGTAGCGTCCTCTTAATGATTTCATTTTTTTTATTATTATCACGAAATAAAGTTTAAATCATTTTTTAGTTAGTACCGTCTATAATAATGYATTGAAATAATATTAAGATTTAGTTAGAAATATACATTGTACAACAATACCATTAATATAATAATACATTAATACGTAATAAGTATATAATATGAATAATGTATKAGTAAAAAATATACACAAATGCTGTCATTCGTAGTAGTAAGGATAGTTTAGGACACCAATAGATCTAAAAAAAATCCAATAATACAAACAATTCTAAGAAAATTTAAATACAACTAAATCGTAAAATGTTTTACTTAAATCAGATGTAGATCAATAAAATGTTTTCATTTCAAAATTAAGCYGTTGCCAGTCACAAGACGAATAATCAATGAYAAATAAAATCTATTACTACATTTGAATTCTTTCATCTTTAATTTTGTGGGTTAATTTTTACACATTTTATTATTAGTTTCTTTTTAGCCTGGAAAGAATAAATCTAAAACGACATGGTGACTTAAATAATTAATTTGAACTTCAGTACGTAGAATATCCTGATAGAAAGATCGATTTTAATTTTTTAACAATTACTTTTATTAAAAAAAAAAAAAAAATAATCGTTTTAAGCTTCAACTGAAAATTTTTTGTAGAGCGTTTTTTTTATATAAACTCCATTAAAACACTAGTATTTAATTTACAACTTTTCCACCATCGTTAAAAAATTTCTTATTAATTAGAATCAATCTTTTAGAACTTTTAGGCTGTAGCAGTATTTACGTACCCACAATATTATTATATGCGTATTGCAAAGTTGAAAGTATTGGTATAACGATTTTAACATTATGTTTATTAGAAAGAACATTTTTGAAATAATTATATTGATATATAAAATACGAACATTAAAATAATTAACGGCATACGATTACATTTCATAAAGAACAACAATATCAAATGATTTTATTCAGCCTAGCCCTATCGTATATCTAATGCCCTAGTTCGATCATATGACAAATACATTGTAAGCATGTTAATTTATCTACTTTAAAACTATTCTATTATCAATCTATTCCATATCATTAAATAGCTAGTTAGTAGTTACCTATTATCTGAATATAGTTGTGGTTTTTATAATTTATCATAATATTATTAAATAAACACAAAAAATAAATAGAATAATTT